TCTCTCTCTCTCTCTCTCTTTCTCTTTCTCTGTCTCTGTCTCTCTCTTTTCCTGTAATCGCTTTTTTTCTTGGTTAGTACATGCTGCTGATCTCTGGTCGCCATTTGTCATTTTATCTGTTTTAACGTTGTTCTCATATCATTTGTTTATCCTGCAGAATCCTTCCTCGGTCGGCCACACCGATTTAACATCAGAGCAAATCGTATGTCTCCTTCGACTCTCTGCCAGGCTAATCCACTAATCTCTCCCGTGTCTCCTTTATTTTTTTTCTGTCACGGCCGCTCACGCATGCCTGTCTCATTCGCTTCTTTAAGTATACACCTCGCCTTGTCTAGTATATCAATGCATACCTATATATACCTGTCAAACCCATTATGTACTCCATTCGCTTGAGTAGCTATGCTTTTTGTATGCTCTTATTTCATTCTCCTCTTTCTCTCTCTCTCTCTCTCTCTCTCTCTCTCTCTTTCCTTTTTACACTGTCTTGGTCTCGTTTACTTTGGTTTACTCTTAGCTCATTTTGGTGACTTTGGAACTACTGCGTTGACGCGGTCGACAGACTTGCAGATATTCCAAGTTCTTTTCACTATAAAAAAAAATATATCAAAATTGTTATATCACGAACGCGACCCATTAATCATACTCTGCTTAAAATGGCAATCGTCACACGAAACGAAAACAAGCCCAGACAGAATGCGATAGAATTGTTTCCTACCCCTTAACACGAAACACGAAAAAAAAAAAAAAAATCCAAGCCCCTCGTACCGTTCAATAATTTTACATTGAATCATTGAATATCTTTTGAAAAAAGACTCCGCCTCACTGTTTCGTTGCTTACTTATCGTGTCGAACTCCGTCCCTTGATTTTAAGCAGGGTAACCTCGAGCCATCATTGCTCCATCATTTCCAATGTTTAATCATCGTTTTCTCCTCCTGTTGCAGAATTACAGCGAAAATTGACGACGACATGATCCGATATTACGTGGACGAGGACCTGTTCCTTCTAGAGGTAACACACTCCCGAGTAAACCCAGACCCGAGCAACGAGCGTAATCCAGCCAATCCTGGATCACCAGGTGATCCAGGCGATCCAGGAGATCCACCTGCCACAGCGGGATACGACGTCACTTTGATCGAACTACCCTCATCGCCGGCTCATATAGCTCATTCACCCCTTACGAATTCCGCGCACGGCCACACGCACGTTCACGAGACTGGTAACACGTGAATTTAGAAATAATAAAACAAATACAATTACCATACGTGGCTCTCGTCGTTTTGTATAATAATGAGCGTGAGAGGGACAAAAGCAGCCGTTGATGATCGCGACAGGAATCAGCGACACGGTGCAATGTGAAAGAATAAAATTCATTAAAGAACAGTTTGACTGGAGAAAGTTCTTCAGGGACCTGCGTTCGAAGAAACCGTTCGAGGGAAAACATTCATGCAAGTTGAAGAAGAAGAAGAAGAAGATGTTTCGATTTAGTGAAAATAATTCACTCCTGCTTGGATTTAAAGGATACGCTCATAAAGAAGTTGGAAGAAGAAAAGAAGAGGAGAAACAATTTTGGCCGTGTAAGTCAGGCAGAGAGATACTAGAAAGATACTCGGGATTGTTCTTCGTACTGTACAACGAATAGGAAGAAACGATTGTTAGTTGATAATGATTGTCTTGTCTTGTGCAACGTCTTGAATGATCGTGTCTGTTTTTATAACGATATATAGGTAGTTTCACTGACATAAAGAATTTCGTGGATACGAGGTGATAATTGATCGATTGCACTTGATCTCGAAGGGACAAAGTTTTACCTTTTTCTTTTCTTTCATTTTGTATCTTCGTAGAAATACCTTCAAAAAATATCAAGGTTCTTGGTCAGAAATAATCTATAAACAAAGTGTAACTTGCGTCCACGAAATATATGACCAGACAAGCCTGTATTGATGTAGATGTCTTCAATACGAAGCACAAGATAACGAGGAAATATATCTTTAGCCATACAAGGCGATTCGTTATTTTATATATATTTTTTCTTGTTTGTTTTCACTTGTGAACGATTTATATCGATGGTTGTTAGATTATAGAGTACCGTTGGCGTCGTAATTGAAACGCGATGGCTACATGTAAATCAATCAAAATTGATTTAAGAAATTCCCGCCCTATCCCCGTTAAAGATTAAGTTATAGATTTATATATATATATATATATATATTATATATATATACATACGTATGACGTATAAATGTATATGAAAGACAAATGCCACTTTATCGTATCGTCAGTTTTAGAATTTAAATTCTTGTTTATATGTTTTTAAATGAACCGATGATCGGTGTTTCGGTCGGTCGACGTGCACGAAGCAAGCTTATTTTATACCATAAGACTTGTACTTACGTAGAGCTAAAGAAGTAACTTTGAACGTCGCCATTCCAAGATAGACGGGTGCCATCGAGCATTTTAATCTCTTTGTAGTGTTTTACGCTCATACAACGTTCAGCGATATTGTAAGTTCTGTCTGATTCTTGACTAGGATTCTCGAGCAGAGGCGATAGTGTCATATCACATTCGAAGGTTAAGGACTCTCCCTCTACATTCCCAATACATCAGGTTGGTCGAAGGAGCTCAACTTCTTCCATCAGCTATCCACTTTTTGTATCTCGTGTGTTATTTATACCGAGCCAAACCGAGAATCCGAGTAAAACTGTGTAACACATCGATTAAGTATCCCTTAGGTACTCCCGCTATAATTCCAGAATCCTCCTGAATATCCCAGGATCCTTTGATATTATACAAAGAGCAAGTATTACTCTCACTGAAGTACATAGTGTTTCTTCTTTTTTTTTCATTTTTCGTCGAGGTCGATCACGAAGAGAGAAAAGTAAATACACGTTTAGAAGATTAGTAGGTACGTTAAATATCCCATGGGATCGTCACGTTAAACGCCATTGCAACGAACATTGCAATATTTAGGATAGACTAATATAGACAATTACGCTGTATTGGGCTCTGTAATGAGTTTCTTGGGAACATTCCTTCCTCGAAACATTAAGCAACCTTTTGAGAACAGCTCTTTGTTTTGATATGATAACGCTGAAAAAGAAAAGAGTATATTAATAAAATAACAATAAAGAATTGTATTTGCGAAAAGTTTTTCTGAAAATTTATGTAACAGGAAATATATTACTTTTAACTTCCGAATTCAAGATTTATATTTATGTATCTATGTTCTCGAAAGGTTCAGTTATTTATCATGTAAGCCCCGTGAAACCCAAGTTTATCTTGATTATGGCAAAAAACAGAATATATACGTAATGAATATGATCATTGACTCTAATCAGTGCAACGTCGTTGTCGTAGATCTGAAACGAACGAAGATATAAAAGTTGTCAATAGCCTGTGGTTATATATCGTTCTTTCTTTTTTTTTTTTTTTCTTACTTTGTTTTTTAACGTGAAACAACATTAACGTGCCACTGGTGAAAGCGAACCACTTCGTCGTCGCTTGCGTCGCGTGATTTTTACTGTAAACTCACGCTCACGCTGATCGATACACGTACACATATACACCATCATTCATCAGCTATTAGAGTATCAGCAATTAGTTCTCATTTAGACTGGACTAGAAAGCATCGTGATCACGACACTGTTGTCTCCATTTTTGTTCTTGCGTGAAAAGATACAAAAAGAAAGGAAGAGATACTTGATTCATAAACACACACTATATACATATATCACGATACCGATATCAAAGCAAGGATCAAAATACGCTTGTAAAATGCATATTATTATATGAGTACTATATTTGTTACATCTATTACAAGACAGCATATAGTTTGATATTATTAATATTATTTGATTCTATTGACTAGAGCTACGTAATACGTACATTATTATGATTATTATAATTACGATTATTATTATTATTATTTTTTTTTTTTTATACAAGGGATGTGTGTATTCATGGTGCGAGAATGAGAGTAAAACAGAGTAGACGGGTCGAAAGAGGGAAGAGAGAGAAATAATTACGAGAGCGAAAGTGACGATGAGAATGAATGGAAGAGATCAGTATGCCTGAAGAAGAGCGAGCAGAGAGGAAGAGAATCGTATCATATGATCCACGATGATTGTTAGTTGTTGCTCCATGACATTTTTATCCGTAATCGATATCTTCCTTAGCCCACCCCTACGCCCACATCGAACCTTACACCATAAATTTTATCCATCCTGAACCTTCGATCGCCCAAATAATCACTTCCGTCATTTATATGTACAGATGAATCTTGCGAGGGATTCGTCGTGTGTGCGTACGAACGATTTCGTCGATATACGATTTTTATTGCTACCGTATCATCCCTTATAATCCCTTACGTTTATTAATATTATTAATTAATGATACATCATGAAAGGCAGCCGTGTTACATCACGAGAAGACCTCAATCAAGACCGGTGACCAATAAACGTCAGAGTAGTGTAGTAAAATTGTTTGTTGAATCGGCAATTGTTTTTTAGAAATTTTTTTCTTTTTTTTTTTTTTCGTCCGTGTTAACATCGCATGGTGATATAAAAGCGAGCATGTGATCTTCTCGTGATCGTTTCCCAGCCGTCTCGATATCGTAATTAAACGACATAAACGACGATGCGAAACGAATCCACAGGCTTCGCCTTATTTGTTAGAAATATACCCGGTGTAAGAGGAAGAATGTTGAAAACCAGCCGATTTCAGGCTGAACGCGCGCAGTATACTGTTTTAGAGGATCGTGAAGCCAGACAAATTGCGGAACAGATAATGATGCGAGAATATCGAAATATAATACCGTTTTCGCGTTGTCTTGCCATCGTGAGATTGTGCCAGAGGTGATATTATATTACGCTGTTTATTGCAAACAATAAATATTATATTAGTACGTTTTATAAATTGTGCGTTTTTTTATTGTTCCTTGCATTGAAAATCAAGACAAGGGCACTTTGAGATCTCAAACTCATTTACAGTTCTCGCAGTACCGTTTGAAAGTTATTCAAAGTTACCTTGAGTCTTTCGACGATTCTTGAAAACTGAGGTTCGCCTTTGAAAGATCATGTCAAAGTCATTTAAAAGATATTTCAAGCATCGAAATCAGTCAAGATTATCATCAGACTTCCTCAAGCCAAGATCATCGTCAAGGATCTGAAAAGCATTTGGAGATCGATTCAATTTTTATGTATTCAATAAATAAGTGCAACATATTTGATTTTAAAAATAAAAAACATTCTTATCGATAAACAAAATATTTCTCCCCTGCCACTATAATCTCTTAAAATATCACAGTTCTGTGTAAAAAAAAAAAAAAAAGAAAGAACTGCTATGAAACGTGCTATAGAAAAAAATTGATGTCTGTCTCCTTTAGTAAAAACACAAAGCAGTGGCCATAAACTTGGATGAGCACAAAAAGGGTCAAATAAAATTTCCAAGTAATTTACGCGCTTTTAGTGTTGGAATTTTAAGCAACTGAAAGTTATTTTTATATCGTTCAGTCACAAAGGTGGAATTTCTGTAATGTATGGGACAACAATTTTTGTCAATCGTTATATTGTAGAAACTCCTGAAAGAAGTTTCTACGTCTTGATGAACATGATTTTATCGAATAAAATCTCACGTTTCCAGCCAGTTTAAACAGCAATAAGTCAAACATTCAATACCCATCTATAATTTACATAAGTTTAAATACGATCCATAAATTTAATACTCTAATACACGCGTTATAATCGTGAGACTACAGTGTGCGTAGACACTATGATCGTGTGTCAGGGAATACATGACCTTGTAATGGGACACTGGCCTTCATGTAAATTAACGGCGCTTATTCATTTGTACGTCTTTAAAGAGATCTGAATTTCATGCAATCATCGAAATTACATATGTGCTACAATTATTTCCTTTCCTTCCAATTTCACACAATAAAAATCATAGTAAAAATAGTTTAATTCACAAAGAAACATTCGAAAACATTTCTCCCATTAAATTTCACGTAGGATTTGTTTGCAAACATTTCTGCTGCAAGCAGATTTTTTTGATTCTCTCGGGACCCACTTGAGAATTGGAAGGAAGGATGGCGTGTCTTAATACTTTATGGCAACATAATAAAAAGTAGCCCTAACGCAACCGGTTTCCACGTTCCAAGAGGAGAGCCACCGTGATCCAATGGTGGCGTCAATGCAAGATCTTGGACCAAATTTTATGCATGCGGTGATAACCATATATGTACATTTTACAAACTTGTTTATCATTCGTGTGCTGGTCATTGAACTTCCTTCACAAATATTGGAGCAATTTCAATAAGGATGATGCTGCGTCTTAATACCGTCTTAGTACCTAATCAAATTAATAGAAATTGTTAAATCTTTTTAAATATTCAAATTAGATGATGAAAGGAAAGCAAACATTTCACGGAATAACATAAGGTTCCTCGAATAATATTGTAAGTCAGGAACGAGAAACGATGTAACGTTACGTCGAAACGAATTCCATGTAACAGTGGAACAAGTAGACCCTTTTGTCTTTTTTTTCCTCAAACTACATCGGTTTTCAATTAAGTGTGAA